AAGACAAGTTAACTTTTCTTCTCTAGCCTCTCTACTTCAGAGAGAATGAATTTCTGGTCTCCTTCTAGAAACAAAGAAATGAATAGAGCTCACTAATCATACACCCTCCGACACACAATTCTCTTGACTTCTGATTAGAATAAGGGATAAAAATGTGATCATCAAAAATATTAGTTGTGTTTGCTCCTTTATTTTTGTCATTTCTTTACTTCCTGTTTGTAGATCCGAATTGAAGAGTTGAAGGTCAGAGACAGAAATATTCTCATCACTGGGATAAATACACTGTTAAAACCTGTGGATATTTTACCTTATTAGCCAGGCTTGGTGGTATAAACCTGGAATCCCAGTTCCTCAGAAGACTATGGGAGGATTGTCAGTTTTAGGTCAGTCTGGGCTGCAGAGTGCGTCCTAGTCCAGCTTGGACAACACAGTCAGAGCCTATTTGGGGGATAAAGCCTGAGGACCTATGTTTAATCCCTAGTACCACAAAACATCATTAAATTAAGTGCCTTGTTAGTGGCAACTCATTATATTTCAATTTTGTTTTTGTTTGGAGATTTGATATTGTTTTATTCTGGTTTGGTTTTCTGATTCAGTGTTCCTCCATAGCCCTGGCTAGCCTGGAACTCACTGTGTATATCAGACTGGCCTCAGACTTAGGTCTTACATCTTCTATCTCCCTATCACTGCCTCCCAGGTGCTAGGATTACAGGTGTTTGCCACCAAGTCCAGCATGCATTATGCTTTTGTATTTACATTAAAAAAATTTCAGCAGTGGTGGCACACCCTTTTAATCCCAGCACTCAGGAGGCAGAGGCAGGCAGATCTCTTTGAGATGGAGGCTAGCCTATCTACATAAGGAGTTCTAGGCCAGCTGGGGCTAAAAAAAAAAAAAAAAGTTCAAGATGGGCATGGTGGTACATGCCAGTAATCCCAGCACCTGGGAGGTGAAAGTAGAACTGGAAAAGAAAAAAGAAAGAATGAATGGAGGGAGAGAGGAAGGGAAGAAGGGAGGAAGGAAGGAAGGGGGAAGGAAGGAAGGAAGGAAGGAAGGAAGGAAGGAAGGAAGGAAGGAAGGAAGGAAGGTCGGTTCCACAACTGTTGTGTGCTATTACTTCATACCAGTTATGGAAAGTAACAAGTGTTGGGGAAAATATGGAGAAACTGGAAACTTTGTGGACTGGTGACATCACCAGAGCCAGTCACCTTGTTGTCTGTGGATGCCCATAGTTCATTTCTTACCTGAGTGTGGAGACAGGTCCTCCACCCTAGCAACTGGTGGGGCTAGAAGGTGGCTTGGGGCTGGATGTACCACTGCTCTCTTCCTGGTTTCTCAGATGGTTAAAGGTACTAACTCTTTTGCCACCTACATATTCTTCCTGAGGGCATCCTGCCGGGAAAGGAAAGCTCCAGTCTGGACCTCCTATGATCCTTAACTCTCACTTTGGTTGGGAATCTTAGGTGACCTAGGCCCTCCCAGCTACATTTCCTGGCTGAGGGAGGTCCCTCCTGACTTGGATCACTCATCAGCCTCCTCCAGACTGCTCCTCTCAAATCCCAGGGCACCTCCTTCTCAGGAGACAGGTGTCAGCTCTCTGGGGCCACTGCAGACCAAATCAGTCAACTGCACACTTATTTTGGTTTCAATATTATCATCTTTTTAAACCTGCCTTCTTCCTTCTGTCCATGGCTTTCCTTTTGGAGAACAGATGCAGCTGTCCAGGATTCATATGACTTGCCATAGAAGGCCAAAAGGAAAGATTTTGGCCTTCTATGGCAAGTCACATGAAAGGAAAGTTTGGACGACACCAGAGCCCTATTAAGGCAGGTGCAAGGCATCCTTCCGCATCTGTGGGCCCAAAGGAACATGCAGGGAAGTGAACGCACAGGGGTTGAGGGGAGGGACCATAGCAGGAGCCGGCAGGCCCCCTAGGCCTTGGGAAGGTGGGCTTCGGAGTTCCTGAGTGCAAGAATGTTATGTTGTGGGAGTAAACGGAGGGATGTCAAAGCCTGGTAAGGCGGGGAGAGTGGAAAAGAGGGGACAAAGTACTCTCCAAGCCCAGCCTGGGCACTTCATGGGTCCTAACCTCCACCCACTTGTCAAGTTTTTGCTGCTCCCGTTAGATGGCGCTCAAGACTTTCTAACCGTTTGTGAAAGTGCTCCTGGCCCGGAACAAAAAGAACCGTGGAGTGTGGGAGTGTGTGGAGTGGGCGTGCACTCCAGGGGACCGGCACAGGGAGCGGGCGTCGCCTGGCACCTCGAGGAGCGGTCACGGGTCACGGGTCACGGGTCAGCCGGCCGGGGCGGGAGTGCCCAGAACTTTCTGTGCTTTCTTTCCCTTTCCCCGTGCTGTTTTCTCCTGGGCTCTGGAGTCTGGCAGCCAGCCTTGGGAAGCCTACGAGGCTGCTCATCCACGCGCGGGCCTCGGGGCGCGGGAGCAAAGAGGCGAAAGACTGAGACGCGAAGAGCTGGGGCGTGGGCCCAGCCTCTCCACGCACCCTCCGCCCCGCCCGGCCGGGTTCTGGGCGCCCGCTGGCATCCCTGCTCTGCACCGCAGCTCCGTCTCTCTTTTGAAGAGACTGGGGCAGGCGCAGGTTTTGTTATTGCTGTTTTAGCCGATCCAGCGAAATGGTTGTTCAGTGAGAGGTTTTGTTAAGTTCACTGCGTGCATGTTATCAACAACAGGACAAACTTTCTCGCCCCTGATGCCAGTGAAGCCCAAGAGAAATCAAACAACTTTCCTTTTAAATAAAATGAGATAAAAATAAAATACGATAAGATAAAATAAAAAAAAAATAAAAGACTCTGGGAACTCCAACGTGTCAGATGCGGGCACTAATTTTCAAATAATTATTTAACGAGTAATGAGATTGAGCGTTCTCAATGCCAAGTTCACCTCCCCAGTCTACAAGAAAAGTGACCCGGCACTAGGCGAGCCTCCTTAGGTCTCCACCTGAGCGCGCAGCCGAGGTGCGCCGGGCAGCCCCAGAGGACTGGCGGGAGCCAGCCTTCCTTTGTGAGCCTCCAGGGTGGTGAACTTTCCCGCGCGGTAGGTTCTCCTTTAAGAAAGTAGCAATCGCTATGAATATTTAATGGCGAGCTGAGGCCGGCCGGGCGGAGGGGTAGACCCTACCCAGGTCCCAGAGCTCCGCGGCCAGGGGTTGCACCGCGAGCTCATCTTCACCGGTCCCGCCACCGCCAGATCCCGGGGGCGGGGAGGATCGGGATTTGCGGGAAGAAAAGCTTGGTCAAAGGCTGAGGACCCGAAGCCCCGCTTCCCGCCGGCCGGCCAGCGCGTTCATTTCCATAAGAAAGCCGCAACCGCGTCTGGAGGCTTCGGGACGCCCTTCCCCCACCGCCCCGGGCTGCGAGACGCGGCTCCCTAGTTCAGACCCGGGTGTGCGCCGCGGCGATGGGTGGCGTAGGTAAAATGTGGCTTCAGATGTTGCCCCGAACGAAGGCCGCTTCCCCTCTTCATGGACTGGACGGATCGCGCCGGGTGAGTACAGAGCGCCGTGGAGTGGGCAGGGGAGGACGACAGCGCGTGAAGCCAGCGGGTATCCGGCACCCTAGTCCAGGGAGTCCCGCGAAGGTCTCTGAAGTAGGGTGTGGAAAGAAAAAGCGCCCCCCCCAAAAAAAAACCCGGGCTGTCTGCACGTGGGAAGGGCCGGCCAGACTGAATGCTCCTCTTCAAAATCTCCCGGAGCTTCCGCTCACCGCGAATGACCCTCTTCCTGCGAAGGTATAAAGTGAACTTGGTCAGACACTTGATCCCACGGGCCACGCAGTTCTTTCTCTTTTTGCACCGAGTTTCTTTGGTGCTTTCAGGGCGAACAGCAGCAGCCTTGAGCCTTGAATTCTGTAACACCCGCCTCCCATAGGTACTTTATGATCTCATCTGGAGAAGTTAAAACCTAGATCTGTAATGTTTATTCTTAGTTTACAAAAATTCAGAGGGGTAATGTGTGAGACTACGTTTGCACTTTGGGGTAACCGCTCTCTGCAAATGGCTGGCTTCTCTTTACCGATTCTGGACGCCCTGCCTTTTGCCACGAAAACTAACTTGGGTCACTAGTAAAGCCCCAATTATATGGAGCAATTAAATACCAATTATGACTGTTAACGACTTTATTGCTTTTGATTATAGTTGAGAATTCCAAACGTGGTCAAAATAATCAAGTTATTTTTAAAAAATCTGCCACCTAAGATTTTTACTTCGTACTCCAGTCCCCCATCCCTAAGGAATAAAGACTAGAGACCTTGTTTTAAAAGAGTTTGCCAGTATGTATTCGTGGTCAATATTGATTTTATTTCTTTCAGTAAAGTTTATTGCTACTTCTGGTAAATAATAGAGGCTTCGTTTCTGGTCCTGTCAAGTTGTGCGATGTGTAATTGATGATGGTGGTTACAACTTACTTGATTTGGAAGTAGAATTGGGTCAGAGTGAGAGTGTGCTTTCTCTCCAATTACTCTGGTAATGCTGAAAACCCTAGAACATTTTAAAGAACAAGTGTTTTAACTTTTGCTTTAGATGGGTAATGGCTATGGAGTGACTGGAAGGTGAGGAAGTCAAAGATGCTGAAACCAAACAGGAGAAATAAAGAATCAGGTCTAGGTTTTAAATGTTCTTTTAGCTCAGGGGTTGAAATGGTAGTGGTGAATCACAGGCACCGGCTGTTTGAAGGGGGGGAGAGTATTCTGAAAGGAGTTTATCAGTTTCAAGTCTCCCTTATGCCTAGGCCTCTTCTTCCTAAAGGCAGTATGCCACTTTTCTCTGCTCCCGTTTTTATCAGCCTCCTGTTATCCCAAGTGGAAATCCATGTTCAGTTCTGAGTTGGGGAAGGGAGGCATGGAGGGAAGAAAAAAGGGGAGTGCTTACATGGGGTTCTTCTACCTCCAGGGAGCAGGCAAGCTGAGCAATTGGGCAGTTGGAGGGCTTCTTTTGATGTGATCACTTTGCTCACAGTCTCTTCATCCTGGCTTTCCAGAGCATTGGAAATATTTGAAGGGCAATGAACTTGAAGTCTGCCTTGCTCAAGACATGTGCTCAGCACCTCAGTACCTGGGTGGAAGCCCACAGAACGAGCATGCATCTGGTTCTGATGTACCTGCCAACCTGGCCTGGAGATAGATGCTTAGGCTGTGTGGCCCACATCTGACCTGTTTGAGATGAGCAGGTCCTTGGCTCAGCAGCACCAAAGGTTTTGATTACTTCAGAGCACTAGGTGGCCTCTTGTCTTCTGTGACAATCCTGGACCTCCTCCTCACTTCTATTTTGTCAGAGTTAATTGCCCGGCAGTGGGGTGTCTCTCATGGTGGGATGACCAAGAAATACTGCAGGGAAGGAAAGACTCCTCACAGGTAAGAGGATGGCCTGGGATTCTCTTTCTCTTTGATACACAAAAGAGAGCCTAAAACCTGATTTGAATGAAATGGTCCTCTAGTATTCTTCCCTGGGAACAAGCCTCTGTTTCCTGGCTTAGGCTGTTGACAACCTGTATGGGGTCATGAAAGTAAAACTAATGCTGCTTTCAGGGGGTTCATCCAGGAGAGCTTCCATGTCAGCAGTAAATTCCCTCTCTCTCTGAGTACCCAGAGAACAAGTTCCCCGATAAGAGTGGACAAGCAGCTACCGCAGGACTCTGTGTAAATCCCAGCAAGGACTTTTGGTTTAGAACCTCCTTATCAAGCCCAGGGCTGGGGTTGGAAGGGTATGGGAACAAGGAGGAAAAAAATAAACTAAAAATCTCCAATTCAGTTGTTCCTCCATGGGGGCAGCTGTAGTCAAGCTGGAGACCAGTAATGCCCTGAGGAGAGGAAGGGGAAGGGGACATGAGGCTGCCCCTAGGTCTAATGGCCCCTGGTCTCATCCAGTTGGCCTGAGAGCTCTAGGATTATGTGGTAGAAGAAAGACCAGAGCTCTCCCAAAGTGAAGGGGAAAAGTGGTCCTATACCTGCCCCCTCCCCTAAAGAAGTCCATGTCACTCAGGCCTGCTTTTCAGGGGACCTGGTAGGAGAATCTGGTTGGGGGGGAGCTGGATGCAGGTTTCCTTATCTGGTGATTTACTTGAAAACTGACATGTAAAGAAAAGAGCCCTCTTATCTCAGATAGTGTCTCCCCAGTGCCAGAAAACCTATCCACTCCTAGGAAAGCTTTGACATTCTATTAGATGGCTAGATGGCTCTTACATACTGGTCAGGATGCCAAGTAAGTTCTGAGGAGGAGGTTGACCTGTCCCCAGGAACCGGAGCAAATGTAAATGAGTTTGAAAAAAATTCTACAGTTCGAAAACTTTCCCCAGCCAGACCCCATCTAATTCTGTCAGGGTCTCTGGTCCATAGCCATAACTACCTCCTCTGCCTTTTCTTCTTTGTAGCATGAGGTTCTATTTTAGGAGGCTGATAATAATATTCATGTCAGTCTGTCCCTTGACCCTGTCCTTACCCAGCTCCTTGTATGGAACTATAGTTGGAAACTACACATGTAAAATCTTAAAAAATTTTTTTTCTATTCTTCTTGACTAGAAAAAATTGACAAGACATAGACACATGAAATTGCATCAACTACAGTGGACCTATCAGCCAAAAGTGCATCTATCTCATTTGTACTTGGATGTAGCTAAGGGTAGTATGCTGTGCCACTTGCTGCCTCTTAAAAATCTCATCAAGTCTACCTGACTGGCAGAAATTTTTAGAAGATCCCTACTGGGGCCATTTGTGAGGTGGCCCTGAGCAGTCCAGGCCAGTGAGGAGAAGGGGATGAAGGTAAGGAGTCTGGAGGGCTAGCTCAGGAACTTGAAGTAATTTGGACAGATGTTTCTCTCAGTATCTCAGGGGAGCTGGGAGGCTTGGCCTGTTGGTGCCTGAAGGTAGAAGCAAGAGGGTCTGGACTTCCGTTCGGATTGGATTAAAGAAAGGGGCCACCTTGTAGTAGAGGGACAGTCACTAACTGTATATACACTTGTCAAACCCTCTCCACAAATTGTATTTTTACCTTCCACCTGTCATAGGGGGAGTGGCATTTATGGAGTTCCTGCTCCTGGCCTTGAACTTGTACACTGAGCAGCTCATTACCTGTCTGTTGTGCACTGAGCTCCACTCCTGGGCTGGTGGGTCCCTGATGTGGAGGGGGCTGTGCTTGGAGCTTACCCAGTTCTGTGGAGGTGTAAAGCTATGATTTTTAGGGTGCTGTTTTTCTTTTTCTTTCACCTGTTTTCACATAGATTTCAACCTGTGAGTCCTAAAACAATCCCTACCCACCAATTCCTATACCTGCCAGGTGCTCATAAGCTCAGGGTCACCTTCAGGGTTCTAATGCAGCCTTGAGTTCCTATTGGAAGAAACAAGGGTCCTTGGAGAGCCTCCCAGGGACAGAAGGAGGTGAAACTTAACCACTAGGAGATGGCCACATAGTCTCAGAGGACCCACCTGAATGGTGCGGAGACCTATTTTCTATAGCATCCTGCTTCCTTTCCTTGCAGAGTCCACACTGACTTAGAGCATCCCTCAACCCAAGGAGCTTTGTCCATTTGTGAACTTCTTCCTCTTACTGAGCTCTGAGACTTGCTTCACCAAGGCAAACTGCAGCCCTCAACCTTCCCTGGCCAACCAAGGGCAAGTCATGTTTCCCAGTAGGGCCATAGCTTGAGTAGGACCTGCTTGGAGGATCAGCTAGGAACAAGTCCCTCAGGGCCCAGCCATGGTCATGCACCCAAGCCTTGAGAAGCTTGCGGCATAGCAGGGCCCTAGGTTGAAGCCCTGGGCAGCCAGCCATGTACCACTGACATCCTCCTCTGCTTCCGAACAATCAATCTGTTCCATATCCTGGGAGCTGGAGACATGCTGCAAGGTGTGTGATTTTTTTTTTAAAGAGCCTTGGTAGTAGTTTTGCAGGAAGCCTTTGTTACAGCTTTGTCAGTTCCTAAGCAAGCCTTCAACAGCTCTGGCTCCAGACACCTCACTATCTTTCCCTTACCCTTGCAGGGGAGAATCTGGGATTCACTGCCTTACTAACAGATCTCCTCCTACAAAATGCTTGCTCTTACTTACGATCTCTTCTTTAGGTTTGGAGCAGATAGACACGGTTTGCCCTGCCTGTGCCTTTGGGACCAGGCTTTCCTTAGAAGAGCCAGCTTTGTGAATGTGACCTCCCGCTGCTGTAGCACTTTACAGCCCAACAGCCTGGTCAAGGAGTAAGCTTTCCTGAACTGCAGGAGCGACTGAGGTTGGCACTGGCAGGGCTCAGAAGGTGTGAGACCTTGCTTCCCCTGGTAAGAATAATGACAGAAAGAGCTGGTTGAGGACAAGATCTGTACTAATCTGGCTCCTACTTTCCACAGGCATCTGGGTAACAGACCTCATATTAAGTATAACTCCTTCTTAGCTAAGGTACAGTTTTAGGCAGGATCCTTGAAAGATGATCTGGTACACATGGAGTACAAATAAGACTGTTTACATGCACACCAGTTTACATGTGACACAGAGTAGAAATAAGGCTGTTTGCATGCACACCGGCTTACATGTGACACAGAGTGCAAATATGACTGTGTACGTGCACACAGACTTGGCTTACATGGGAGATATTCTATGCTGCTAGCACCCCCCTCCCACCTTTCCTCCAAATCTTTCTATTTCATTTGTTTTCTGTCTCTTTTCCAGGCCTTTCTACCTGCACATAGAGAAAACTGGAAAAAATTGAGTATGTGCACCTCTCCTCACAGATGGTAAGCATTTAAGCTGGGATCTGTTAGGTAAGCATTTAAGCTGGGATCCCTCAAGTCACCCACCCCTCTCTCCAATTAGCTAGCTTGGTTTTCTGATAGGGAGTCTACTGGAAATGGAGGCTTCCTTCCCTGGGGGCTTTTGTTTCCCTCATTGAAGTCCTAGCTCACAGCCCAGAACAAAGGGGTGAGGTAAGTGATTTCTCTTTTGGTCCCCTTGCCTCTTCACTTCCACTTCCTCACCTGCAGGCCTCCTCTTTGAGATGGAGAGGTTCAGGCCCATATGTAACTACTGCTGACCTGATCAGCCCCTCCTCCTGGAAAAGTAGAAAGCTCATTTCAGGTGCTAGCTGTTCAGTGCCTTTGGGTATCTATCACTCCACCCCCATTCCACCCCCAGACTGCACAGAACTCAAGGCTGCTAGCTTTGTACACTTCTCTTGTTAAAAACAGCCGAGACAAGGGCTGGTGATGTGGCTCAGAGTAGAATGCTTGACTAGCATGTGCAGAGTCCTGTATCATCATCCCAGGAAACAAAAACTACCCAGAACAACTGTTAAATAGTTCTTGAAAGAGGTTAAAGGCCTTTCTCTTGGGGTTGAGATATTTTTAAAGCCTTTTGGGGTAGAAATCTGCAGGGGATAGGAAACAGAAACAGTAGCTTTGCTGGAACAGTTTTAAAATTTGAAAGATCTCGCTTCCAAAACTATTCATTGAAAATAGTTCCTAGCTGTTATTTTGTTTTCGGGTGGCCTTTTGATTATTGTAAGACAGTCTCAAGACCATGCTACTAAGATTTTTAATTTTGTTAGTTTGGGGGTGATACTGCTTTTTCTGATTAGGTCTGTTGAATCTTTCTTTAACTCTACAGGTACATTTTCAAACTAGGAAATGCAAATGAAAAAACCAAATGAACTCCTTTTTGTGAAATTTACAGGGGCAGTTTGGATCAAACCTGCTGCGCCCACCTCTATTCCTGAAAGTGGGCACCATGTCCGAGGGGCAGAATGAGGTGTGACAGGTTTGACACCTTTCATTTCAGTGCTCAAATCAGTATCTAGTTTGTTTAAGTGTACAAAATTCCAGCCAACTAAGTGGGCTTGCCTTCTGCTGAGAGCCAGTTCTGGTGGATACAACTCATGCTGATCTCCCAGAAGTGCTTCAGCCAGACACCTCATCTTTTAAAAAAAAAAATTATTAAAAAAATGTTTGTGCTTCCCTCATAGTGTCTGTCCTATCATTTTGTAGCTATAATGATTGAAACATGAGCCACCACGTTCATTCACGGTGCCCTTTGTAACCAGAACTTGCAGTCCCAGACACAGTTTAGGTATGCTCTGGGCTTTACTCACTCTCACTGAATCAAATGGTGAATTTACACTTGATCTTGCTTTTCTTTAGACAGCATACCGCCCCCCCACCCCGAACAACACACCTTTCTGTCTGCTTATAGGAGAGGGAGAGTCACTTAGAGAAAACTTCAAAATTACCACGTTCATTCACGGTGCCCTTTGTAACCAGAACTTGCAGTCCCAGACACAGTTTAGGTATGCTCTGGGCTTTACTCACTCTCACTGAATCAAATGGTGAATTTACACTTGATCTTGCTTTTCTTTAGACAGCATACCGCCCCCCCACCCCGAACAACACCCTTCTGTCTGCTTATAGGAGAGGGAGAGTCACTTAGAGAAAACTTCAAAATTAAAACAAAAGATCGGTGAGATACTTTAGCTAAGTGACCCCAGCCACGGTTTCTACCTGGTCTGGGTAGGAAGGAGGTAGTCCACATAACACATTGCACAGATACTTCTAAAAGCTGTGACAACCTAATTTTACAGAGATGGTTTTTTCCTGAATTCTGAGCCAGCTCCAATGACTTAAAATTTAGTTGTGTTCCCATGCAAAGGCACACATATACCGAGGGTCACATTACCCACACATTTCCACTGAGCCACTTGACTGACTGACACCTACCACCACCAAGGAACAAAAAGAAAACGTAAATCTTTCCATGTGTTTTACAAGGTTATTTTATAGTATTTAATGTGTCCACACACAGAACTTTTGCTCCCTTTTCAAGAAACAGATAAACTAACTGCCTCCTCCATTCTCTCCAAAATGAAGGAATTCCAGTGATGACTTACATAGGTAGAATGTGGCTTGTCCAGGAAAATTGTATTTGTAAATAAGTGGCTTTCTGTTTATTATGTATATTTTACTGAGAAAAAAAAAAGGAACTCTGTCGGTTGAGCACATTCTTGAACAGAAAGCAGTTCAGCTCTCCTTAAGTTCTTCCTATTGCTTCTGCCTCACTAGAAGGAAGGCAGCCAAACCAAGTCCCCTATGATGGTCCCTATTCTTGAGTGCCCTGGATGACCTAGGAACATGCCATTTCTAAAGTTTCCAGTTAGCAACAGTTCAAGGAGCTCAGGGGACTGACTGACCCCCTGGAAATATTACCACAGTCTTTTAGGGGGTTTCGATTTTGCCAGTGGATCTTTCACCACTGGGTTTTTCTAAAGCTAAGCTCTGCACTTTGCCGCTTTAGAAGCAAAGCTGCACAGGCCTTCCTTAGTGGGGCACTGGGGCACACACAGGGTGGTTGGCAGCCCAGAGGCTGCCTGGGCCCTCAGAGGACATCTCGGCTGGCTGTGCAGGCCAGGGGACCACAGTGGCCCAGCTGGGACATGGGGCTGTGGGTGATCCTAATGGGATCTGACAACAGGCAGCCCACCTTGGCATCCATGTGGTCTGAGAGAAGCCAAGGCCTGGTCTAAGTACCCAGGACTACCCAAGAAGTGGGTGAAGAGGCACACAGGATCCAAGGGTGGAAACTTACAGGGGAGCAGTCTGTTCCCTCCTGCCCTGCCCTGGTTCCTCAACCCCAGCTCCTAGACTTTGATACACTCCCAGACAATATGGCCTGCCTGCACAAGGTCATCCCGCTCTGATTGCTTTGCCCGCCACATTCGAACAGTTGCAAAAAGAAATCGGTTGGAACCCTGTTCTGAGCATCACCCTTTAAAGCTTTGCATCCTTTGGGAGAAAAGTTTGCCCCTTCCATAAAATAATTCGCAGGCCTGGGTTACAGTCTTTGAAGACCCAGGGAGTCATGAGTCCAGCTCGTTCTTTTGGGGGGAATTTCTAACCGGCTCACCCAGGCTCCCAGTTCAGCCCTCTTATCTCACGATCAATCGAGGCACAATCCGAGACCGGAAAATTCGCGAAGGTGGATAAGAGAAAAGGCGTTTCTATCTTACTACCCACATGCCTGTCAAAAGCTGATGGTCAGGACCTCTGAACTTGAACGGCCCCCGGACTTCAGCAACTCCCCTCAACCTTCCAGGGAAACTTTCAGAACTTTCTCTCGCTTTCTCCATTCCTCAGGCTTCCTCCATCCTCCACCACCGGGCTTGAGGATTAGTTTCCTAACTGGCATTTAGTTTCTGAGGATCCCAAGGCCTATTTCCATAATAACAATAACTGTGCTAGGCTGAAAAAGAACCAGACTGAGGATGCGGGGACTATGCAGAAAAGCTGTTTTTGAAAAGGGTTATTTCCAAAAGTTTCAGTTGACAATCATCAGTAACCCCGATAGACAACTCCATTAAAAAAAAAAAAAAAAAGGAGAAAAAAATTTACTAATGCTTTTGAAAGCCGTTATTTTTTACATCATTTTTTAGGAAGATAGATGAACAAAACATCGCGTTTCAAGCCATTTTGATCTGTAATTAAATGGCAGGATCGGTTTGTATTCTCCTACGGCTTTTACAGAAGTTGCAGTGATCCAAAGTCGGGTTGTTGTGTCAGAGTGGCATTTTTATTAATGAGAATACAAAAAGCTTGCATATTCTTAGCCCGGCTTGAATTTAGTTGCTAAGCAACGGGTGTATGGTAATTCATCCGCGAAATTTAAATCTTTGAGAAAGGATCGTGCGTTTTTGCTGAATGATCGCCACGAGGAAAACAAGTTGTGGGACCCACAGCAGCTGCCACCGTTGGGCTTCTGGGCCTTGCGGGGCCGAGGCAAGACCCAGGCTGCTTCGCTGTCACTACCACGGCCCTTCCTAGGTGCCCCCCTCCCGGGGGCTGCCCTCCCTCCTGGAGAGGAGGAAGCTTTTGACTGCGCCTGCCTAGGCCCCTCCCGTTCGCCTCTAGTGATCTAGGGTTTTCACGCCTGGCATGCTGTACACCTGACCAAGTCGCCAGCGTCCCTAGGGCTTCCCAGTTCAGACTACGAATTTCAGCATCCCCTCCGTATGCGCGCACGCACGCACACATTTTCACACACACACACACACACACACACACACACACACACACACAGAGTGCTGCCTTTAGAATGCCTGTTGCCCTTCTCCCAGACCCCTCTGAGGTCACTTCCAGAGTCGACTCTTCCTTGAGGAAGAGTGGACTCATCAAGAACGCAGCCCACAGCCCACCAGAAGGCCAGGCGGCCGCCGCTGGCCGGCAGTGACATCATAGGCTCCTGCTCGCCAAGCTCGCGCCCACATTTTAGGATACAGGAACAAACACGGATGTGAAATCAAGAATGAAAGAGAGAGTAATCTAATTAATAGGCCATGAGCCAGCCTAACAAAATCAAAGAATCTGATTACACAAGTACCCCTCTTGCTATCTCCGCCGCCCCCACCCCCAGCGCTTCCAGACTCCTCGTTATTTCCTTTCCTAGACTGGAAAGTTCAGGAGGTAAACACAGAGCCCTCTGATTTCCTTATTGAAATCAAGATCAAGCCTATCCTGGGGCTCCCACAGCCAGGAGGTCACATGGATGACCTTCAGGCCCTGGGACCAAGAGCTGGAGGAACTGAGATGGCAATCCAAGCGTACAAGCAAGAGAACTGGGAGAGCCAAGAAGTCCCCCCACCCTCAGCCTCTCACAGCATCTGCTAACAACACCTGCACTGGTCATTCTGTAGCAGGACCTGAGGAAAGGTCTCTATTCTGAGTCATTTTAAGAGGGTCTATATATTTATTGTTAAACCTAGCAAGACTCCCTACATCATCGGTTTCTGGGCCACTGAAAGTCCGGACCTCTCAGCTGTCTTGCACCTCCCTTCCCCAGCACAGAAATATGAGGCATTAGGGTATTAATATGAGGTGCTAGGTATGAGGCTACTCATGGAACACAGCATCTGCTCTGTTCGGTACAGTCAGCCACATGCATTTCAGGAAAGAAGAGTATTCTTTAATATCTATCTTAAGAGGAAAAGGAAAAAAAAAAGCAGGCCCATGTCCTAAATAATTTCAAGCATATATATATCCAGTGCCAACACCTGTTGCATCCATTTTAGAGTTGATTAATTACCCTGGAACTTGGGCAAACTAAACTCCATGTGGAGAGACTGTATCGTCCTTCAATTTAGTTCTGAGAGCTACAAGTTATTGATGGCTCTTACTCTATTTACATACAAATTGGTGCAAATATGCCCATCTTTTTAAATGCATTTTGTATAGATATATGAAAGTGTCATTTTTGATTTAGCTTGAAGAGGTTGATCATTTATTACAAAAATAAACGAATAAATACAACAATATATTGTTGCTTCCAACAGGATAAATACTTTACAAATATATAATTTAAAAAACAAATTTAATTGTTAAAATTATTTAAAATATTACACTTATTGATAAAACTATGAATAGTATATACTGCATTTAATATTAGAACCAATTATTCTCTGAATGTTGAAAACCATTCATACAAAACAGGTCATGAGCATGGTAATGAGCAAACACTGGAGGCCACAGGGGAGCAGAGGGAATCTCTAAGATCAATAGTGGACAGTTCTATTTCGGAACAAAGAAGTGATCCTTGGCTAAGACTAAGTGGAGGGAGAGGCAGAGCAACAACAGCAAAGTGACTAATATTTTTAATATACCTTGAATGATTTATTGTACAGACTTGCCAGGGGACAAGGACTGGGTGGATAAGGTGACCAAGGCTTGGACAATAGATCAAGAGCCACAGTACGCTGTAAACTATAAATGGGCCTAGTTTGGACCTAGCCAGGCTGATGGAACAGAACTTTGTCACTTTCCTTTGGGTTGGAAGGGGAGGAGGGGACTTGAAATGGAGAAAACAAATGGGCACTATACGAAGCACAAGACACTTGCGCTGCAAAAGGAACACAATGACCAAATTCATTAAAAAGATCTGGTGATATATAACAATATTTTCATTATTTACATGTGTAACAATATGAGTCTTAGCACAAAACTTCTCAGTTGTATCTCCTTTCTTTTGTGTTTCAGCCATGAATTTCATCTTGTAAATACATTCAAAGGGTTGACAGAGAGAGAGAGAGAGAGAGAGAGAGAGAGAGAGAGAGACCAAACATTCACTCACTTTATAAAATTCAAAGTAACAAAACAAAATGGGCCTGCATGCCCAGCTTCTCCAATTAAAAGTTACTCTGCTACCCCCAAATCAGGGCTACTCCCAAAACAATCAGCAAAGGTTGCTTTTTAATAGAAAACAGTGTTAAATCCAATGTTAGCTCTTCTGTTGTTAGCTAACTCAAGTAAGCAGATACCACCTGAAATTTTAAATAGACCCATTTCCCACTTAATCAAGCACCACTATTCCAGAAGAAACAAAACAAAACAACAGTGACCACAAAAAAACCCCCAGGATTCCTCTCACACACCAGCAGTGTGCACCGCTTACTAACAATCTGCCCCATTCCTAGTTTGGAGCCAGACCTTCTTGATTTACCCATATAGTCCCTCAAAAATGATGACCCTAGCCCCACCTCACTCTAAGTTATATATTCAATGGGCAGGACAGTTACAATAGTGAGAGAAATGGGAAACAAGAATGCAGAGGAAAACAAATTGTAGTTTCTCATCTTTATTTTTTTTCTCCTCTCTAATAAATATGGCCTTTTTCAGATTTCACAAATCAAAATGATTGTGATTATTAGTACAATTTGGTGTTTAAAATAATGCAACCCAACACATGGCCATCTGGCTGGACTTGATTTATGAAAGTGATACAGGGTCTGTCTGGGAGAAATAACTGCTCCTTGTCGCTCTCATAGTTTTCTAGGATTTTTAAACCCCTGCATCTATATCATAGGGAGAGCCAGTGATGATGACAGTAGGCAAAAAGTGAGTGGCAGCTGAGTGTGATTGGGGTAAATTCTTACATTAAAATCACTGTTGTCTTATCCCCTAAGTACTTAAAACAACAACAACAACAACAACAACAACAACAAAAACATACTATACAAAGAGACTCAGCCAACCAGAGCCTTTTGGGTCTTTAGCACTCACAGCCTGAGGCATTACATTTTCATTTTCCCATGTTGCAAATATTGATACATTAACTTGATAAATGTGGTCACTCTGTAGGGCTTATCTAAAAAGTGACCTAAAAAGCTAAAACCCTCAGTCAGTAAAGAAGATAAAGAGTCATACTTCAGGAAGCCAGAACCACAAACAAGGACAGCCTCAATTCTGAGCTGGTGGCAGTCACAAAGATAGTATGCAGAGTAAAGCAAAGGCAGGATTTAAAGAAAAGCGACAAAAAGCATAATAATTTAAATCTAAGCACATATAATTATCAATGGGAAGTAATTGATATCAAAATATTTCACAGGTTTCTAAGCTATTCTTCACAACTGTTTCTCTTCAGGGAAAAAAGAAAGGACTATGTTGGAGGGCAAGAAGAAAAAAAAAGGCTGAATTCAGAAGAGCTGTATTTACCATTATTGACCAGTGGGCACATTTTTAGTGGTGGATGTAGCTCAATTATGCAATACAGAGCACAGGTATGTTCAAGAAAAGGGCTAGTATTTATAGATCACCTCACCTAAAGCGCTATAGACACCCACTGAAATTGAGGGGAAGGAAAATGTGGTGGAATTTGTGGATCAACAAGGGGTAACCACTATTGTTAAAGCACCAGCTGTGTCAGTAATCCTAGCCTGTTCTGGAGATTTAAAAGCACACCTTGAGTGGAGCGGCTCATTTAAGGAGGTGCATTAGTTAAAAAAAAAAAAAAAAATTTTTTTTTCTAGAGAACTCTTTTCTTCCCACACAGTGTTTACGCATCAGACACAGACTATTTCATTCTAACAAATTTATTTTCTCAATCAGCTCTTACGGAATCACTACTCAAATTAAATTACAATCAAATGATCACATCAAAAGATACCCTTATTACCTAACAACTGTCCATATTTTCATTTCATTTTGATTTGTGCTCATCTGAAAAAAACACGTAATACAAGATCTGGGGAAAAATAAATTACCGTTTTGCAGCAGTTCATAAGTATTCTGAATAAAATATTAAAAGAAGTCATTTAATGAAAATATAAAGCAAATATTTTTAGATCAACAACGGATCTAACAATTCTATATTGCCGTCATTTGAAAAGTCTGTTTATTAAAACCTACCAAAAACACTGCTTGGAAATGGCAGTATTCTATAGTCACATCCACAGCACCCATTTCAATCAAAGTTGGCAACGGATTGAGGACATGAAGTCAAGAGAAGTGCAGCGGGTGGTGCTCAGTCTTTCTAATCCTTTTATCGGAGTGAGTCCAGAAATAAAAAATAAAAAATGTTAATAAAAAAAATATTAGCGGTGGAATCTGTAGGCAGGGTCCACCCTGAGCGGCAGTGGGCAAAGCAGGAGTCGGTGGAGGTGGCGGTGGAGGTGGCTGGGCCTCACTGGGCGGCCTCGCAGGCTGGGCCCTGGCTTTGCTGCCCACACCACTGGCCGGGTCTCTAGCCTACCGATGGATGTCCCCTTTCAGCCTTGCCCATCCTCTGCTCTTTATTTCCAAGGTTACTTTGAGGATGCTTTCTTTTGGCTTTCTTATTCAGTCTATTAATTTCAGAAGCTGTGAATTTTTTTTTTTCCTGGAGACTCCGTTTCTCCTTCCTTTCCATTTCATAGTTGGTTTATTTGTTCCCAAAAGACTTGGATATCGACAAGGAAAACACAGTTCTGGGGCAGAGTCAGACCTGGGTGAAACCTGGTGCTTTTCAGGTCGCCCCTCCCACTAAAGAAAGTTTCCATGGATCTTTTAGGCAGCCTTTTGGAGAAGTGGAAGAAAGGGGTTCTCTCGTTTTAGAGGAGAGGAGTCAGGTGCTGTCCACCGCCGCCATGGACATCCCGGGGTGGATGATACCTCATGAGTGCAGTTTTGGTGCGTTAGGCATCTTCACCCTTCTTTAAAAACAGAAACAAAACACCACAGTATAAACGAGACATCCGGGTTGCCCCCTTTTCCTCTTCCGGTTATGTTTGCTATATGTGCATATAAAACAGTCTGGGTATTTATTATGCTTTTAAGGGTTTTTTTTTTTTTTTGGGTCCCTCCTTCCTTGGACTTCAAAAAAAGTCTCCTCGGTCCGTGTCTACCCCCGTTTTGTCCCCCCCCCATCGAGGGCTGGCACGCCTGTCTTTGGGCAGAGAGGACGCAGCGGATGGGCCTTGGCCCGGGCCAGGCGCGGCCCAGGTGCTGGCTCTGCGGGGCGACGACGGCGGCGGCGGCGGCGGCGGCGGCGGCGACGACAGCAGCGGTGGTTCGTGGGCGGCGACTCGTAGGCGGCGGCGGGGGCGCTGGCGGTGCGGACGGCTGCTGCGGAGGCGGTGGCGGCGGCCCTCTTCGCGCTGCGCTCCGGCCTTCACTGCACGCTGGTCTGCAGCCCGTGGTGCGGCGGCGGCGTGTCGGCGCTCACCGTGCCCACCTGCGAGTAGACGTCGTCGGGCGTCTGCTGCTGGATCCCCGGCGGCGTCATGCGCTTCTCCTTTTGGCGCCGGTTGCAGAACCAGACCCGCACGACCTCCTTCTCGAGTTGCAGGCTGTCGGCCAGGTTGGTGATCTCCTGCGCCGAGGGCTTGGGGCACTTGAGGAAGTGGCTCTCGAGCGCGCCTTTGACGCTCACCTCAATGGAGGTCCGCTTCTTGCGCTTGCGGCCCTGCGCCGCGATCTTGTCGATGCTCGTGGGGCTGCCGGTGCTCGAGTCCGCCTCCTCCAGCCACTTGTTCAGCAGCGGCTTGAGTTTGCACATGTTCTTGAAGCTCAGCTGCAAGGCCTCGAAGCGGCAGATGGTGGTCTGCGAGAAGACGTTGCCATACAGCGTGCCGAGCGCCAGCCCCACGTCGGCCTGCGTGAAGCCCAGCTTGATGCGCCGCTGCTTGAACTGTTTGGCGAATTGCTCCAGGTCGTCAGACGTCGGCGTGTCCTCGTCCGAGTGCGGGTCGTGGCTGTTGAGTCCCGGGCCTGCGCCGCCGCCGCCGTGGTGCGGGGGTCCTTGCGCGTGGTGCGGGTGCGGCGGGTGCGGGTGCGCGTGGTGGTGGTGATGGTGGTGATGCTCTGCCAGCTCCGGCGTATCCCCGCGCACCAGCCCCGGGTGCACCAGACTCTGGGCGCCGCCTCCCGCGCCGCCGCCGCCGCCGCCCGGCCCCGGGGGCGCGCTGAGCATGCCGTTCACCGTGAAGCCCCCGGGCTGCGAATACAG